TGTTATATTGTGCCTGGATATTTTACAACAAAATGTTCTCTAAATGTAGATTATGTACGCGTTAAGTGGAATGAGATAAAAAGTACAGGTGCGACAAAAAACAGGAGGAAAAAGCTAAGAGCTATTAAAAGAGGCTTTATTGACCAACATAACGAAGCAGAAGGTGTTACATACAAAGTGGTGGTTTTTAGTAGGTTTTATTGTGTAAAAAACTTTAATATTTTTTTAAATTGTGTTTTTCTAGCGATTCACTTTTTGTGTATCTTTTAATTTTTTAACAAAGATAACTTTTTAACCGCTCATTGAATTTTTTTCAAATTTTCAGCTATTATTCTTGAGTGTATTTGTGTATTTTTTTATATTAAAGTATTAAAATTTGAACTTTAGCAAGCTGTACTTATACTTTTTTCTTTTTATTGATAGAATTTAATGATTTTAAAGTTATTAAATGTTGTTTATTGTATAATTTTTAATTCAGCACATTTTTTGAACATATATAAAACTACTTATTAAGTTTGGTTTGTAGAACATGTACGGTTCTCAAGAAATTCTTGTTAAAAAAAGGTCAATTTTTTTGCCTAAACTTTGCTAATTTATGCGCTTAATTATTGAGCAGAGGGGTAAAAAAATTAATTTTGTTGTGTTTTTAAAATAATTTAACCTAATACTTCAGAAAAACATAAATGTTCCCATATAATATCAAATTTTAAATTTTTTTTCTTAAAGGGTACTACCACCTTAAATGTCTTATTGCCGATAGAAACTGCAATAAAGAAGTTGAGTAAAAATTCTGCAACTCTTTTAACCGCTGAAGGTGTTTATAAATTTATATTTGAAAACTTAGATCAGTTACAAACGAATATAAGTAAAAATTTATTAAAACAGATAAAAAAGCGAATGGATGAACGTCGTGATAAAATCCTCATGACATATTCTTCTTAGAATCAGGCAATATTCCACATTCTACTAAATTTTTTGAATATACTTCTAAAGCTGACACTATTGCTTTAGCAGTAGAAATATTTAAAAGGATTCATACATCTAATAGTGACAGCAGCAGTACTGAGAACAATGAGATCGAGGAAATTGCAAAAGAAATAGCAAGTGAAAGTATGCCTAAAAGACAAAGTGCTAATAATATTATGCAGCAAAAGCTAAAAGCAGCTATTTCCTCAATTACCCATGTAGAAAAGCAGAGCAGCACAAATACTTCATTGTTGATTTTATGTTTTTAACAACCACTAAAACAAGAACAAATAACTTAAATATATTGTTTAATGCACTTCTAACAATTAGACCAACATCTACTGCAACAGAGCGCGTTTATTCAATTGCTGGTTTAACGCGGACAAAAATTAGAGCTCGCTTAAATTTTGAAACTCTTAATTCAATTACTTTTTTGAAATATGCATTTTTAAAAATGAAATAAATGTAATTAGTATAACTGTTTTATTTTTTTTTATATTTGATTTTTCAATGTATATTACTAAAATACTTAAGTTAAAATTAATTAATACTATGAATGTGTTGAGTTCAATCTATCATTTTTTTCTTTTTTGTTATCCGGATATATCCGAATAATTTGAATTTTCAGTATTCAATATCCTGATAGTCATTAATGTCGGATAAATGGAAACCCTAACCAAGAGTCTTGATGAACCAAGTTTATAAATAAAATATGTTTTCTGCAGAAGATTTGTGCTCTAGGTGAATCAAGTTTATAAATAAAATATGTTTTGTAAAGATAACATATTTATAAACAGAGTCGTCAACGACTGGAACGAGCTGCCACCCAAAACAGTTCATGCGACTTCTACCAATGCATTCAAAAACCGACTTGACCAACTAACCATCCAACAATTAGCCCGGATACACTGCCGTATTCTCAGCATAAAAGTGCCTGGGGCCGCACTTCTTCATTAATTTCTTAAACAAATAATTTTATTCTTCAAAATGCAACATTTATACGTTAAAAAAAGTGAAAATGACAATAATCTATTATTTATTTATTATCAAAATTGAAACATTTTGACATTTAAACATAGAAGACTTTTGCTCTTGATGAACCATGTTTATAAATAAAAGACGTTTTCTACAGAAAATTTGCACTCTAGGTGAGCCAAGTTTATAAATTGGCAAGAGCACAAAGTTTCTGTAGAAAATATATTTTATTTATAAACTTGGTTCATAAACACAAATCTAAAAAAATTAATATTGCTTTAGTTTTAAAATTCAATTCACTATTGTCAAATGTCTTCTTTTTGTAACTTTTTCTGAAACCATCTAGTTTTTGTAACCGGTTCTGTATTCAACTATTTTTTATAACCAGCTCTGCAACCAACTTCGTAGCACATTTTTGACATTTTATTAGACTAACAAATAATATTGTTTTATTCCAATAACTATTGTTGTGTATCTCTTGAAAACCACTTTAAACAAATAGAAAACTAAACTAAAAACTCTGCCTATATACATATGGTAGAACTTGTTAAATTTAAGTCTGTCATTAATGTAACTAACTCATAGTTTATTGATAATTGTTTTTGGTTTATCAAATATACAATGTCATCAGTCTCTAACATACCAAACATTGCAAGGGGACATTTATTTTCAAGTATTTTTTTCTTAAATGAAGTTTATGTTGACTTCATTTTTTTGAACATATCTAGTTTCTTGATTTGAAAAAAGATACATGAAGTGAACTAGCATTTTTTATGTGGGTACCTTTAAATTCACTGTGAACTAATTTTAGGGGATCAATTAGTAGCACTTAATATCTTTACTTAACTTGAGTTACAAAAATATTATTAATTAGATCAACATTTAATGTAAATGTTGATCTGAAGTAATTAATAATATTTTTACTGGTTTTTCTGGTTTGATAATTACGCTATCGTTATAGGTAATACTTAGTTGTGTTTTGGTTACACAACCAAAACACAAAAAATAGCATGCTGCTTTGCTAATTTTTTTAATTTTAAGTCTCAGACCATTTGAAAAATCATCAAAAAGTAACTACAAAAATTTAGTAAGTAAAAGTGAGTAGTGGTCTAAGTTCTGAGTTTTCTTACATAAACTACATCGTAAAATTACATCTGACAGAAGTATTTTTACGATGTAGTTTACTCATATAAGAATTAAAAAACTCAGAACTTAGACCACCACTTACTTTTACTTAGTAAAATTTTGTAGTTACTTTTTGTTTTTGTTTAGACTCTTTGATCTTTGTTTCTCACTTTAAACAAGTGTCTATAATATAATTTTCAAAATATCTTATAATCAGGCTTGTGGAGCCGACTGTTTTTTTTACGACTCTGCTCCGGCTTCGGCTCCTAAGAAATATCTGGCTCCGGGTCGGCTCGACTCCGGCTGTCGAACTTAATGGACAGTAACGTCCAAAACGTTCAAAAGACATCTAAACCGTTCAAAAGACGTCTTTCTTACGTCTTAACTGAATTCCGTTCAAACTGGGTATCAGTGAACGTTCAAAAGACGTCCAAAACGTTCTAAAAACCTTCAAAACGCTCTAAAGACTTTTAAAAGACCTCTTTTGTATGTCCGTTCTCTATTGGGTAAAACATACGATCGTTAAATTCAAAACGATAAAAAATTCGAAAAAAAAATGAAAAATATTTTAACTTATGCAAAAACTTCAATATTTATTTTAATCTAAGGAACTTGAAGATTATAAAAGTGCTTTTTATTTTAATATTTTTCATTATTTTACGCTAACCGACGACATCAACTATTGTACAGTTTGGCAATTTTTTTTCCTACTAATGTCCACTCTCTAGTCAAATCTTTAGCTGTGCTTATTGTTTTGCCACTTATACGCAAATATCCTTTGCCAATACACAAAAATTTCTCAATGGGAAGGAACTGTGTGCAGGTTGATGTATTAAACCTTTTTGGTATGAATTTGGTGTCTCTCGAATTGCACCATCTTCTTAGAATAATGACAAGAACCAAGAATAGGCCAGAACTAACAGGGGGCATTGTGACTTCGATAAAATTGAAAAAGTCTAGCTGGTAAGTATTCTTTAGTGTAAACATCCGAGTTTAAAGTTGACGATGTAACAAAAGCTCGATATTTCAAACCACAGCTGTATATTATTTACCAAAATTTAATCTTTAAAAAAATCTCAAACTTTATACCTTTTTGCTCGATTCTGTTCGATAGACGGGATTTTGCGTTAATGATCTTTGAATACTTATTGTTGCTAGCTTATCCTTAAAGCCTCTCTTTTTTCCGGATCCTTTTGATTGTTTGATAGATAGAGAGCTCTTGTTTTGTTTTATGACCATACAAACAGTAGTTTTGCTAGATTCAGAAGCTTTAGATTTCTTAGATAGTTGTGCAGAACTTTTTTTTCGTTTTTTTAATTGTTTCAATGACATTTTATTAAGAAAAACGATTTGACTCGTTTCTTGATAATAACTAATACTTTAATTAATTAAAGTATTTACGCGAAAAAAATAATTCAATAATGTGTTAGTAACAAGTTTTAAAACGAAATTCATCGTTCCAAATTTAACAATGGCATGCTTTAGAAATTTTTTTAAAATAAATCTTTTTTTTTAAATAATTTTTTTATATAATATATATATATATATATATATATATATATATATATATATATATATATATATATATATATATATATATATATATATATATATATATATATATATATATATATATATATATATATATATATATATATATATAGATATATATATATATAGATACACATAATCACATTTATCCTATCAAGTGATACTGAAAAAAAGTTTTCTATTTTAAAGTAGTTTCTAGGCTTTTCTATACGCGGTTTTTTTTTTTTAATTTTATTTACTAACAACGCGTATTACGGGTTGCTTACTGCTAGTTTATTATGAAAAGTTAAAGTTTAACATTAAATGTTTAATCTAGACTTTTAAAAGTTAAATTTAGAATCGTACATTATTAAATAATAATTTAATTTTGTTTAAATTTTTACCATCCAAGAACTTTGCGTCCGTGCTTTGGTCATCTTCCAAAGATTCTTCGAAAATATCATCATCAAACTGTTTATCAATTTCATTAACAATATCTTTTTTTAAATCGTCATAGTCTAAAGCAAAAATAGTATTAATACTAAAAAAATAATAGTAATAAAATATAGAAACAGTTATAATATCTATTAGGTATAAACGTTCATTATAATATAAAATACTTTTTTCATAAAAAAAAAAACAAAAAACTATTACAAAAAATTTTATATAACATTTTTCAAAACCTTGCAAATTGTCATCACTAATAACTGCCGTCCATATGAACGTCGTCGATACCAAGCATAACAACAAAACTGTATATGCATAGATCATGACTTCAAATTTTAAATTCTCTAAAAAATTAAATCTGATTTAACCAGATGTTTTATATATGATAACCAGATGTTTTATATATGATAACCAGATGTTTTATATATGATAACCAGATGTTTTATATATGATAACCAGATGTTTTATATATGATAACCAGATGTTTTATATAAAGCAAAATCTTGGAAAGAAATTGAATAATAGAAATAGTAAAACAATAGTTGTTCTACGCATATATATTTTGCATAAATATTTCGCTTATATATTTTACGTATATATATTGTCGACGAACATATATTTCGTAATCATCAATTTTAGTATCATATCAATTTCGGTTTCAAATGTCATTACAATTATTGTATTGACATTGAAACCGAAATTAATATGATACTAAAATTGACGATTGCGAAATATATATGCGTAGACATGCATAAAAACATTGCCAAATAAAATCTCATCTAAATTTGTGTTTAGTGTTAGATTTTAAAATCTTATTGATGTGCGATAGTATGATTTTTAAAGAAAAAAAAGTTTTTTTTTTTTTTTTTGCTTACAAATATTAGAAAGAAAAATTCCGTAAAAGAAAAGTCAGAAAGAATTACAAAAAGTTACAAAAATTTCATTAAAGGCAATGTTACATAGAAAAATTTCAGTACAGATCATCAGTTTTAGAGTTTTGTTATTTCAGTACAGATAATCAGTTTTAGAGTTTTGGTATTTCAGTTCAGATCATCAGTTTTAGAGTTTTGGTATTCAGAACCTGAAAATAGTCTTAAAATAAACGTGTAATACTATTAATGATGAAATAGACACGAAATGAACTTTACTTTTAAATTGATGTATTTTGGTTAGACTAATTGTTTGCTTAGTTCAAAGCATTATTTCCATTATGGTTAGAAAATGAAGACATCTAAGCTAAGGAGCTTATTGGTAAGTTTGTGGACTTAATTGAGTCACTATTTGAATTGCAAAATTAAATATCGAATTCCATAAAACAAATTTTTGTTATTTAAAAGTTTTTAGAAGATTTTGAAACGGTTTTTGTAGACCCAAAATTATTTTTGTAGTAGCAAAATGTTCATCCTGAGTGGCAAAATGTATGTACTGAGTAGCAAAGTGTATATCCTGAGTAGTGTGTTATAGACGTATCCCGCTTTCCAATGGCGTAATGATGCAACAACATCAGGCAATGATAAAACGTAAATATTGAAATAATTGTTTAAAAATTGAACTCTCAAGTAGGGACCGGCGAATATTCGTTAAAATTCGGGTTATGAAGTTTACTGAAAGACGAGGTTGACTTCGATGAAGAAAGACTTCGGTTTCGACTTCGGTGCCGAAGTTGAAATTCGGCTAATAGTTAAATTCAGTAATAATTTCAAAATTTCATTTAACTTCAGTTAAATTCGAAAGCTATTAATTTTTTTTCAGTTTATATAGAAGAAAAGATGTAAAATATATTACATGTTTTATTGTATATTATTTATGTATATCAACCAGTCTTTGCACGTAGCAGCCTTGTTCGTCAAGGTTGAAAAGTGTTTTGGAGTTAAAGAGTTGAGAGAGAGTTGTAACCAATATAAGAAATAGCTTCTTGACTAAAGTAGTCTATTCGGCCTTAGGAACATTAGCTCAGTAAAAAAAAGAAAAAATATCTTAGAAACAAATTTGAATCAATATTCGAAAAGTTTTTTTTAGACACAAAGTTTATTCATCGCTTATTAATTCTTATTTATCGCTCTCAAAAAATCCTAATTGTAAAAAGCAGATGAATATTTAACCTAATATTCTTAAAAAAAATTTTCTTTTAAAAAATTGATATTCAAAATTTTTAAATGAACGGTGTTTTTGTAACCTAAACACCTAAAGCAAAAAACAAATAAACAAAAAAAAACTTTTTTTATAGAATTTATAAAAGTTCTTAAAAAAATTCTTTTTCAATTAAATTTTAAATTCGGTTTAGAAGTTCAAACTCGTTTTTCAGTTAAATTCGGGCTACATATACGGCCTAAATTCGTGTTTCAGTTAAATTCGCTGCACGCATATGATCTAAATTCGTCTTTCATTAAAATTCGAGTCTTAAAATGACAGCTTTGCTGGTCCTCTCAAGTAGAAGATATTCTTGTAGATTTACAAAATTATTTAACTGAAATTACAAATGTTTTAGAAATAAATAGAAATTTAAATGTTTCACCTAATTTTAAATCTGTTGATTTTAACTTTAACATGGTGTAAAAGTTTAAAATACTTGCCACTATTCACTATTAAAGAAATAAAAAACTACAGAAAAAAAAAAAGTTAAAAATAAAAGTATTGCAATAAAAAAAACATTTGAAAGAAGTAAAGGATTTAAATCTGAACGATATATATCATCGGTATTTACACTTCATATAACCTAACGTGTGTCATAGTAAAAGCGAAATGCAAAGCAAACAATAAGAGTTAAACTTCGTGATTTGAAAGTTTATATTTGCAAATTGACTAGCTCTATTATTAAAGCATATTGCTCGTGCCCTGCTGGAAATAGTGGTTATTGTAATCACGTGATGGGTTTATTATTTGAATTTGCAGAATATTCTTTAAATTTACTTGAGAATGTACATAAAGAGATTGCTTGTACAAGTAAATCAAGCAATGGGGCATTCCAGGTCATAAAACTAATACAATTAAAAGTCCTGTTATGTTTACAAATGGTCAAAAATTTGAATTTAAACGTAACATTTAGCCTACTTTATACGATCCAAGGTAAATAAAATGTAAAGAAGAAACTTTAAAAGGAAATATTTACAATCTAAAGCATCATTTAGAAATTTTCCAATTAGTTCTCCTTTATCTTATCAACTCCAGATAAACGAGAGCTTTGAACTGATCACTAATATGGAAAAGCTTGAAGCAATTTCTTTTAAAATGTCTAATACCCTACCTCCTTCACCTCTTGGAACTTATATTAAAAATCATTGCTATATACCTCACAATTGGGAGCTTAATGAGAAACAAAACGATTTTTTGTTATCAATAAAAGTATCTTCTGAACAAAGTAGAAAGTATGAAGCTGATACAGTTACACAAAATAAAAATCAGCTTTGGTTTAATCTAAGAAAACATCGCTTAACTTCAAGTACTTCTCATAAAATTTATATACGCAAAAGACAATTTGAAACTCTTGCTCATCAGTTAATTAATAACACACAGGAAGTTGATTTGTCTAATTTTATTTAAGAGTCTTTAGACCACGGGCTTGCTAATGAACCACATGCTCAACAGAAATATATTGAAGTTTTGAAAAATAGATTAAATCGCAATATTAATTAGTAAGGACAGTTGGAATTGCAATACAAACTAATTTACTTTGGTAAATCAGGTTGTATTACAATTGGCTAAATATTATTATGGTTTAATCAAAATTAAATGTCCTGGAATGAAAAATCTATTTCCCAATGTCTATTTCCAAATATATGAATGACAACGACTTTTATATTGGATTAGACAATAGGCATCCAGATTTAAAAAAAGATCATTATACTGGTTATTATACACAAATACAAATGGCGATGGTGTTAAGTAAATTAAGTTTACGATGGTGTTAAGGTTTAAAGTTTGCGGACGTGGTGCATTAGTTAGAGCGCTTGCTTTATAAGCAGGAGATCCAGGTTCAAAACGAGCTTTGGACATAATTTCGCGTCACGGTAAGGAAGGAGGAGTGAACTTCCTGGTTAAATGCACTTCCGCGGTACTCTGTGACAAGACCATTAGGTCTTCTTGGGGCACCTAAATAAAATAAATTAAAAAAAAAACTCCCAGTTTTGTGACTTTGTTATGTACACATTTAAAGGAATCTATTATAAAAACAGTTTTGACAATCAGTTTTTTTTTAAATTAATTACTAAGTTAAATGATTTTTGCATTAAATATTTTTTACCACGATTTTATTGGACAATATTGTAAACATCAAAGAAAGTATATTACCCTCTATACCTAATCTTACGGCAATTTTTTTGTCAGAAATAGATCCATCATAAAGTTGACTCATAAAAGTTATTTCTCCTTAGGAGAAATACCTAACAATCCTTTGTAAGTAACATGATGTTTATAACTAGAGAATAAAGATATTTGGTATCTCAGTGATAAAGGTTTCTAACAAAATAGTTCAGTGCAATCAATAATGTATCTTGTTGATAAAAATGTCATCTCGCATGAACTTATTAACTTGTTTGCGTGAAGTCCAAACAGGTACACTTCCCAAAGAAAAATATAGAAAGTTTGTACACTTCCCGAAGAAAAATAAAGAAAGTTTGTCCGTGTTTTTAAATAACGAGGTGTTGTTGATTTTGAAATTTTAAATAACTAAGATGTGTGAAAAATTGTAAATCCATTTTTTAGCCACACTAAAAACATAAATAACTGATTTCCTGTGTTTAAATTAAAATGAACTTCCTATTAAATGCTCTACCGCGGTGCTCTGTGATAAGACCGTAAGGACTTCTTGGGGCACCTAAAATCAACTAAAAAAAAAAAAATTTTCTTTTTACAGTATCAATTTTGTTTTGTAGTTCAACACAACATATGCAACCTTTCTCAACCTCAAAATTAATTAATAGTTCTTTATTGTTAGTTTTAAAATTATTGTCTTTATTTCTAGAAACGTTTTCAATAACAAAGTTTTCGATAAATTTTCTTTTTTTAGGAGAACATCGTTTTTGCACATTGACTTGTTTTTTAAATTCAAAAATAGATGCTTTTCTGCCAATATTGGATAAATATTGAATGTCTTCATTTTTAAAATGAAGCTTGCATGCTAGAGTCGTGTACTTAATTAAAATAATTAATCGATTTAAACTGTATAGGAGTGTTTAGTAAACAACGTTAACTTAATGGACTTTTTTGTGGGTTTGTTTCGTTTGTTTTGTTATATACGCAGCTATATAGCTGCGTATCTGAAATTGAAACCAACGCTCTAATTACAATAACATATGTTATTGTAATTAAAGCGTTGGTTTCAAAACCAAGAGATCCCAGGTGTTCTATAAATATGACGTTTAAGTTTTTATTTATTATTTAGAAACTCAAATTGTTTGGCAAGTGATATGTTTAAAGCTAAAAGAGATATAATATCTCTTATATAGATTATAGCAGCTTATATATTATTTAAGCTGCGTTAGCTAGAATAGAAGAATAAAGCACTTTAACTAGAAAAGCTTCTAAGCTTTTTCAGTTAAAGTGTTTTATT